CATCTGAGTTGTAAACAGAGCTCAAAATAAGATAGTTGAAATTCAGGTCCTACCTCACTTCTTTGAAAAAGGCTAGGGGTTATTCACTTCCCGGCTGTCTCTAAAATGTAGAGTTTAAAGTATAGAATTGTTAACAGCTACAGCAAAATATGCTCTGTTTTGATCACTAGGAGACTCAGAATCCACACAGCCCACTAGGGGCTTGGGAGCATGAAAAACGTGACTTGGGTTTCCAGCCTCACAGCTCCCTGCCTGTGCCCTGGAGAGTGAGTCCCTCTGCCGAGGTTAAGCAGGTGGAATTTGATGTGAAAGAGGACAATGAAACCTCACTGTTGTTGCAGGATATGTCATGTTATAAAGGACTTGAGATCTTTGTACCCTAGCTAGCAAGCATTTCCCCCCCATCCCCTGAGAAAGCAAAGCAGAGAGCAGGCGCCGGGGAAGCAGGCAAAGGAGGAGAGGAAGAGGTCGGGGGATTGTCTAGAGTGAATCGCCAAACGCTAATTGTCATCCAGCTCAGAGTTCCGCGGCCTCGCCTGCTGAGGACGCTTGCCTCGCCTGACTTCCACAGCCCGTGTGACTGCGGCTCTGGCCACGCTTACCGTGAAGTTGTAGTGGTGGATTTATCTCATGTCTCAGCCGGACTGTCTGTAACCAGAGACGGGAGGGCGAAGACCAATCATTCACCTTATTCTCTGAAGCAGAGAATGCCCAGAGCTGTGTTCACATTTTGTTTATACTGAATTGAGAGGAATTATTATTATGTTGAATTCAAGCAAAAATGCTGTTCAAATGAAGCTTTTGGGTGCAAAATATAGATAAACTTATTTTGGAGCAAATGTTATCAAAGGATCCATAATATCAGTGGCCATGGTGTTTTACCTGCAGAGGCGTGACATGATGTTAACTCTGATGGCAGCACACTCAGCAGACGTGAAGACCCTGCGCTCTGTGCAGACCGCATTTCACAGATGTCTCACCTGACCTGGTGGTGTTCTGGCGTGAATATGAGTCAAAGTGAGTCCTCTAACTCTGGTGTCACAGTTGTAAACCAGTGGAGCAGGATTAGGTTAAAGGGAGCCACCTTCTGTTTTTCACAGACACTAGTAAATGCGGCCGGAAACCTGTCATATTTGCTTTACGTCACAGCACTGGACGTGGCTTGGAAATCGATTTCCATAAAATTCATCTGATCTCAAGATGAGAGTAAAGGTAGAGTTATCTGACATGATCATGTAAGTAATTCTGTACCACTCAAAAGCTGGTAGAAGATACATTTGATGAAAGAAGAATCTGTGGTTTAGTACCCGCATGAGGAGTCACCTTGGCGTCCCTAGGTTTAGAAGCGTGTGCTGCCCTGGCTCTCTACTCAGCACCAGCGGTTTGCAGCTGGATGTAAGCGCTGGTCCTCAGGGCATTTTCAGCAGCTTTAGGAATTTTATTGGAGGAATTTTATTTTTATTTTTATTTTTATTATAAATTATTTCCTAGTTTTTCTCCTCCTGTGAGCAGGCATATTGTATTATATTACATATGTTGAGCATTCTTGGCGGACTGTTGGCTGTCTATTTATCAATGGCAACATTTACTGGTTGAAAATGGGAAGCAATAATATTCACTGGGCCTTTTAATTTATCAGTATCCTTGTATAGACTACACTCACTTGATATTATTTAAAACATTACAGTCAACGAATTAATTAAAAGAAGGAGCACAAAAATGTGTAAGATGGGTGATATTTGTGGACCAGTGAATCTACAAATGGGACTTACGTGCTTACTGGGTGCAAAGGCGAAAAGACCTCTCCCATGTGAATGAATGTGGTAGGGGACGTCAGTAAATACCTTCTTGTTCTGTTTACTTTTCCTACGAAGGAACTGTTTACCAGAAGTAGCATCTGGATTCTATTGCTTTTTAATTCACTGTGGACCACTGATGGAGTCTGGAACCACTTATGATGTCAGAGTCCATAAGTGGCACTGAGAGTATGGACAGGGAAAAAGAATGATAAAAAAAAAGCCTCTCGGAGCAGTTGAGGAGTTCAAATTCACCACCCTTCCTAGAAAATTCTCTTGGGTCTTAATTCTTACTCCAGAGTTTCACTTACCTTAAAGCAAATAGAAAACAATACAGTGTTTTCAAGTTAAGAAGAACGAATTGGATTGGGGATGAACTCACTTTTTACCAAACACTTACATCAAATATTTTTTGAACCTCTCCTAGCTCAAGGGTCACGGGGAGTGAGGAAATGCATTAAAGCATAAGCCCTTCACACTAGAGGCTGGTCTCAGCCAGAGCAAAAAAGCCATTATAACTCTGCCTTCCCCACCCCCACCCCGTCCCACCCAGTGGGGGCCCAGTTTTAATCCCAACAGTTCAAGGCAACACATTTTAGTTTTTGAATAACTCGGTTTGAATTGGAAGTTCCTTTATAATGATTCAATATCTCTCTCCATTTAACTCTTTTTAATCCTCTACATTTAAAAATGTCTAATATATTTCTGTTCTGTACGATGTTCTTTTTTGAGGTGGGGGGTCAAGCCATTTTATTGAGGAGGGTCGAAGGGCTGGGAGGACAGTTAGATCTGACGTCCTCATCCGGCCAGGATCTCTGTAGCTTCACACTCGCTGAAAACAATGTTCTTAATTTCTAAGACTACAGACGGTCCCTGGTCTATGATGGTTCGACTTACAATTTTTCATCTTTACAATCCTGCGGAAGCAATGTGCCTTCAGTACAGTCAGTACTCCAGATTTTTAATTTTGATCTTTTCCAGGCTAGTGACACTCTCCTCTCTCGTGATGCTGGATGCTGGCAGTGAGCTGCTGCTCTGTCAGCCCCACCATCATGAGGGTGAAAAACCAATACACTTAAAACCATTCTGTGCCAACTCAGCCGTTCTGTTTCTCACTTTCAGTGACAGCATTTGCGGTTTTTGATCCATGTAAATATTCCTCATGCCTGAGCCAAATAGGTGCCTGGATTCCATTTTTTCTCTTGCATAACTTTTATTTTCCCTTCAATTAATAGTAGCCTTGTTTTTTTGTGTGCTTTTTTTTTTTCCTAAATGCTCTAACAGATTTGTCACAGCTAACCATTCAGTTTCCAGATTTATTCCAAACACATTTAGAGCACTCTGTCAGCTCCATGGTCTTTTCCCTTGGCACACTTCCCACCACCTTCAGCTCTGCTCCACCTGAAGGGCTACATCTGTTGCACATCTGTTGTCCCTGGAGCCCCTAACATCATCAACCTGGGACATCCCTTTGAAGCACCCACTGTCTCATGCTGCTTTTTTCCTTGGTTTGCTCCCTCACTCTGTCAGGGCCCATCATCTGGTAACTTGCTGACAGAGGGTAGCTGAGAAGTAAATACTTTGAGACTGTATGTGTCTAAAGATATCTTTATTCTTCTCTCTCTCATATTTTCAACGGATACAGAATTCCAGGTTGAAAATCCTTTTTCATCTGAGTTCTGGACACTTTGCTCCGCTCTCTTCTAGTGTCCAGTAATGTTCTTGAGCAGGAGAACACCATTCTCCTTCCCTTTCCTTTGTGATCTCTTTCCTTCTTTGGGCAATCTTGGGCTGTGCTCTGGATCTCCACTGATAGTAGATTTCACAATTATGTGTCTTGGTCTCTTTAAATGTATTGTCTCAGGCGTATGATATGCCACATAGTATATGGACATATGCTTCAGACCTGGGTTGTTTTCCGGTATTATTTCTTTGATAATTTCTTCTCTATTGTTGTGGTTTTCTGTGTTGAATTAATCCTTATATTTTTTTATCTTTTCTCTTCTTTTTTGCTGTTTTTGTATTTTTGCTCTACTTTCTGGGCGAGTTCTTCCGTTTTATCCCTGAAATTCTCTGAGTTTTACAGTTCTTAATATTCTGTTTTTAATTTCCCAAAACTCTACTATTCTCCAGTTGTTCCTCTTACAGCATTCCTTTTACCATGATTGTAATAAATTTTCTTCCATCTCTGAGAATATTATAGTGGTAAGAACGTTTTTCCTCCCTGTGTGATCTCTTTCCAAAGTTGTTCTTGCTGTTTATTATTTTGGCCTCAGTCTTCCATGTTGGAAGCTTTCCTTGACTATTGTATTATCCTTCGTCATCCTTTCCTATTTAAGAATGAGGCACTAAAAGCAAATTGGAAGCTCCAGTGAAGTGGAGTGAAGTCAGGGATTGTGGCCTGGAGAGCTTGCTGTACAGTGACTGCATGGGGAGACCCCTGCAGAAGGCAGTGCCTGTAAGTCTGTTCTTTCATGCAGTTCAGCTTCTCAGGGAAGAGCTTTCCCATCTCTTGTTAGGGCAGGAATAGGGCAGGGATAGGGCAGGAGTGCGTGCCTAGAAGCACACGCTAGAGCAGCCAGATGGGAGGAGGTGTTTGGGGCACCTTGCAGCCTGAAGTGCTGATTCTCATTGTGTTCCTGTTGGTCTAGAGCTTCACCTCTGCCCTCATCTATGCAGTCTTCTGAATCCTCTATCCAGACAGTGTGGGTGAGTCCAGAGTCTCTCTGGTTTTGTTTCTTGCAAGACTAAATCCTTTGCTTCTTCTCAGAAAGTGCCTGTGGGTCTAGACTCTGAATGTACCATCTTTCAAACCAACCTCCCTTGTTTAAATCAGTCTCTAAATTCTTTGAAATATGTCCTTATCAAAGCTGACATCTGTAAGTAATGAAAAATTGACAAGGGGACCTGGAAATCTTTCTGTGTCCCTGGTGGTTTGGTATTGCGAGTAGGAAAGATAGTCAGTCATGGAGAATAACTATAAAATATGTGAGAGTCAAGGTCAGAACCCTAAGGAAAAGCTTCGCTGGGAGCGCAGGAGGCAGAGATGGGCTTAAATAGGGACAGTTAAAACATCTGGTGGACACTGGATAAAAACACTGAATCCCCAAGTGACAAAGTGAGAGCACTTATTACTAGCGTATCATGAACAGTTTTATTTTCATATATTTATGCTAATGCATTTCTTTCAAGGGTTTTGTTCCAGTGCTTGGTTTGGCAGGACATGGACTAAAATTGGGACTACACACCGAAGATTAGCATGGCCCCTGTGAGAGGAGGACAAGGAAATTTGTGTGGTTTCACATTTTTAAAACATTATTTCAAAATTGAGCAAAGACCTAAACATATGAGCTTAAAACTATAAAACTCTTATGAGAAAATGAAGAGGAAAATCTTTATGACATTGAATTTGCAATGATTTCCTGGATATGACACCAACGGCACAGACAACAGTAACAAAAAAGGGATAAGTTGGACTTCATCAAAATTAAAGCTTTTAATTTTAATTTTGGGCACAAAAAACAGAGTGAAAAGGCAACCCACAGAATGGGACAAAATATTTGCAAATCGTATATCTGATAATGGGCTGATACCCAGGCTGTATCCACTCCTACCACTCAACAAAAACAACAAAAAACAGCCTGATCTTAAAAATGGGCAGAAGAGCTGAATAGACATTTCTCGAAAGAAGACATACAAATATTCAATGAGCACGTGAAAGGATGCTTATCACTAAGCGTTAGGGAACTATAAATCAAAACAACAATGAGATACCACTTCATACCCATTAAGATGGTTATTATAAAAAAGAAAAGGAAAAGAAAGGAACAAGTGCTGGTAAGGGTGTGGAAATATTGGGCTCCTGTGCATTGTTGATGGGAATGTAAAAATGATGCAGCATCTGTGGAAAATGGTATGGTAAGTCCTCAAAAAATTAAATGTCGGACTATCATATGATCTAGCAAAGCCACTTCTGGAAATACACCCAAAAGACATGAAGTTAAGAGTTCAAAGAGATAGTTGTACACCCACTTTCACAGCAGCATTATTCACAATTGCCAAAAGGTGGAATCAACCAAAGTGTCCATCCAGGAATGCGTGGATAAACAAATTTGTTACGTCCTTATGGTGGAATGGTGGACTATTATGCAGCCTGAAAGAGGAAAGGAATTCTGACACATACTACAACATGGATGAGACTTGGGCATTATGTGAAGTGAATAAGCAAGTTGCAAAAAGACAAATACTGTATGATTCTACTTACATAAAGTTCCTAGAGCAGTCAGATTCACAGAGACAGGGAGTAGGACGGTGGTTTCCAGGGCCTGGGGAGGGAAGAATGGCAAAGTGGTTTTTCAGGGGCTCAGAGCTTCAGTTTGGGAGAATGAAAAGAGTTTTGGAGATGGATGGTGGCGATGTCTGCACCACAGCGCGACTGTACTTAATACCACAGAACCAAACTCTGTAAAGTGGTTAAAATAGTAAATTTTTGTTAATGTATATTTGACACGATTTAAAAAAATTTTAAATCAGGGATAGTCATCCAAAAGACAAGATTTGTGTTCACAGATACTTCACTCAAACGTTCAAAACTATCTTGGGGGCCTCCTCTCTCTTGTCTTCATGACAGAATCCTCTGTCTTCACCCATCTCCTCCTTTTCCTAAATACAGAGGAAGGGAACTGTCTCTTCTCCTTCCCTGAGGCAAACGCGCACTCCTTCATCCGATCCTGTCCCACAGTGGCTGCGCCCTGAGCTCTGGTTGTCTTGTCCATGAACTTGAGTCCCCATCACCATCAGCTTCTTCTTCTTTTATTACAGTTCGGCTCCAGGCTCTCTGAGCCTGAGGGAGCTCTCCTCCTCCGGCGCCGTCTCCATGCAGCCACTGTCCTGGCCCTTCTGCTCGCCACCTCTTCTCACATGTCCCTCTTCTCAAAATGGCTCCTCACCCCCAGTGCCCACCCCGTGCGCTGCTGAAACGGTCCTCACAGATCACTAACATCTCCAAATCCAGTGTCTTTTTCTCAGGCCTGATCCTCTAAAGCTGCTTACAGCAACTGGCAGCCCTGCTTCCTCATAAAGGGTTAGGCTCCGGGGGCTCGAGCCCCACTCTGAAGCACCCGCTCTCCCGCAGAGTGCCTGAGAGCACTCACAACATAAAAGGAGGGAGCTGTTGTAAAGCAACCACACTATGAATTTCACAAACCAAATCAATTATAAATAATTTGTGAATTTTACAGTTGTGGAAACTTACAACTCAGGCCTCAGTGCCCAGCTGTTAGGACTCCCTGACCCCTGGTAAGTGCAGGACGGAGGGCTGGCACCGTGGCTGGGCTTCGGGCTGGGCCAGAGAACGTCCTGGAGGTCTTTCTGTTAGAACTCCGCCTTCCGCACTGCCTCTCCTCCGCGTGTGATGTTACTCTGTGGTCTAGGCTCCAGGCGGGAGGCCCTCCCTGGTCAACAAGCCTGCATTTCATGTTACATTGACTCCCAGGAACGGGGTGTAGAAGAAAGGGAAACTGGCTGCCCCGCTGGGGAGAAAGCAGTTCGCAGCAGTACTTGAGTGGGTCCGCAGCGGGGGACACAGATGCTGGGAAATTGGGCCTGAGCCCCATGCTTTTCCAACTGCGGCGGAGCACAGCTCCCAGAGGAGGAATCTCCCCACCGGTCAGAGCTCGCCGGTCTCGCCTGCCTTCTGTCAGGCAGCTGCGCACTGTCTTCTTTCCTGGGCCTCGGTGCACTGGTGGCCTTCCACTCCTCCAGCCCCTCGACTCTGGGAGAGATTTAGTATGTGTGTGGGGGGGTGCACTGTGTGCATGCTTGTGTGTGTGTCCCCCCTCTTTTGACCCCTCCCCTGCCTTCTCGCCTTCATTCCCTCGGGGTCTGTTACTTCCCTACGGGTCCCCTTCCCTTCAGGAAGCTGTGGTCTTCCCTGAGGCCCAAAGCACAGCCCTCCTGGAATCTGCCGAATGGTAGATGTGGTAGGGCGGTGGGGGAGGGTCTAAATTCAGGACTGGCTCAGATTTAGATGATGTTTATCGACATACATGCAGCTTCTGCTGGCTGGTTTTCATGTGTGCAGCATGTGGTCTAGGATTCATGATTTTCATCTTATGATTGAAAATCTTTAAATCCTGGTCACTTGTCTCAGAAACCTTTGTCATCTGTGAGTCCCTAAGTCTCACCAGTTTTGAGTGGGAGTGAGAGCACGGTACTGGTTATGGAACGTGAACGCACACAAGCCACCAGTCCCCAGCCCCCTGCACTTGCTGAAGTGGCATTTTGCTCTACCTCGTTCTCTCTCCACTGTCCTCAGGGCTGCCATCCTCGGGCGCACGGAGCCCCTCCGCTGCCCCAGCTTCTGGTGGACCTGGGCTCCTGCCAAGGGCAGGGCATCCTGCTGGTCCCGCCCCAGGGCTCCTGGTTCACACAGCTCTGCTCATCAGAGCTCTGAGGGAAGGAGGACAAGGGCACGGGGACTCTGCCGGCCTGCTTGCGGGACCACGGAGATGCTGAGGCCCCAGAGCGCCCCTCCCCTCGGGATTCACACAGACGGTTGTGACATCACTTTGTTTGCAGAACAGTAGCTCCCTCCAGCCCTGCATCCTGGGCTGAATCCAGCTAGTCACACTGGACTCCTGTTTCGTTGTTGAGTGAATTTATGGATTTCTCTCAGGGGTCCCAGAGGTCCCCCTTGTGATTCATTTCCTGTTTCCCTGCATCTGAAAATTGGCTCGTTTGTGCCTGAGACCCAGTCCTGGACACTCTCCAGTTCCGTGCTGGGAGAGTCCTGTCTGCGAAGGAAGGTATCACCTGCCCACCTGCCCCGGCATTTTAGGGGAGCTCCACTTCCTACTGCCCTTTAACGTCCTTCAGCTGCAGTCTTTGTGGCTGAATTTCAACCACTATGCATTTTCTTGTTTTAGAAGGAAGCTCTGGCTCTGGTCTTTTAGACACAAGTGTCATTAGAATGTCCTGAAGTCTTAAAGAAATGTGTGTGATTGGCACATAGGGCCAGGGGCTGGACGGCTCAGGAAAGACAAGCCCGAGATGCCCCGCCCTGCCTTCCCTGCGCGGTGATTCCTGGCCCTCCCACCTGGCCGGCTCTCGGCAGGTGGGGGGCGGCCCCCTGTCGCGTCCACAGCCTGGCTTTGACGTGAAGCACGTGATGTGGCTGCTTCAGCTCCGCCCGGGTAGTACCGGCGGCTAGGGTGCAAGTCGCCCGCTTCCAGCATGTGTGCTTTTGCTTCCACACAACTCTATAATTACTCAAAATGTTATGCTGATGATTTCATGGGTGGGCACACACAGCACAATTTATCCAAGTGCTGTGTTTAAATATGGGCAGTTTACGTGTCAGTTATACCTTCATTAAGCTGTCTTAATAATTCATAATGTTATGGGACATTTTAATCCAAAATGTTTATTACGTATCAAAAGTCATCCGTGACCTTGGCTTTCTTGTTAGTTATTGATACACAAAAGGTACGAATAGCAACAAAGAAACCCACAAAACCTTTATAGTTACATCCACACAAATGTACCCAGAAGTCCTAGTCCCCACCCCCACCCCCCCACCCTATTAATGGCGTGGAGAGGACTGGATTAAACATTTAAAAGGACTGATGTTTGTCATAGTTCTGGTCTTGTCTGCTCTGATGATCTTTGTCTTCAGCCACCCTCTGTTCCTCTCCTCAGTCCTTGCCTTCGCCCGGACTCACAGCACCCAGCTCTTCTGCCAGTGGTGTTCAGTGGTCCCTAGCCCAAGAACCCTCCTTAGTGAGCACAAACTTCCATGGCCCTGGGAAGGGAGGGTGGGTTGAGCCCCCCCACCCCACTGACACACTTCTGAATTAAACCCCACTTATATCTAAAACCTCAGCACACTGCCGTTTCTCCCAGTGAGAACAAGTGTGCTCTCGATGCGTCGTCAGTAACTGGGAAGATGCCCCCAGCCATTCCCCCGCAGCTGACAGATCAGCACTGCTGGTGTGAATTCACATCTCGGTGCTTTGCGGGCAGAAGATCTGCTAGGAAGCCATGGTTCCCAGAATCTGGGCACAAAGGGCACTCTTGAGTTGCTCCTTCACTGGCCCCTGTGGATGTGGATCTAGAAAAGTGGTCTCAAGCCTTGTCAACCGTGACGGTGCTCACTGGCACAGCCCCCTCCCCTGGAAATACCCAGGGCCATGGGCGGCTTCCGCTGGGTGATTGGGACTCTGCCCCGTCCCTCCCTCTCTCGAGAAAGCTTTTCAGACTGCAGATAAGAGAGGAATCTACTCAGTCTAAGATATTTTCAAGAAAAGGTAAAACTTTTATTATTTAGAATCATGTTTACTGTAACAAATTATTTTCAGTGGCAAAAGAGCTGAAGTTGCAAACTGACCGAAGCCACTCTGGTATTTTTAGCAACCAGCGGTTCTTAACGGAAGACGCCTGCAGGCCCCAGTAGTTCGAGCTGGGTGAAAGGTACAAGGCATCTTGTAAGTACCTTGTAGGTGAAGTCGGTCTCAGACCAGATCTGGCAGCAGAGACGTTTTGGTCAGAGAGTGGGCACAAAAGACACACAAAGACAAATCGTGTGCTTGTGACTGGAGACTCGAGGGAGCACCTTGCTTCTGCTCAGCATTGTTGTTGGCATTCTGCCAGTGCCTCTCAGGAGACGGTCCCTCCAGGAAGGTCAGCACTGCTCTGGCAGCAGCATTCGGCTGACCTGGGAGTCCCGCCGGATGTTAGGTCCCTCCACGTGCTGCTCCCAGGACTGGAGAGGATCGCTAGAGTCTTTTACCTTCTTCATGTCGCCATGCAGAGCCCCCAGTTTTCTAGCCAGTCCATCCTTTTTGAACTCCACTTGTTTCACAACAGAAACACCATATCTATACGCATTATTCTCATTATAAACTCTCCGGTGTGATCAGCCACAAAGACAGTTGAAGAATTGCAGAGTAGATTTTGATGTTTCTTGCACATACTGAACACTTCTGAAGTGTGTCATTGATCAGTGGGCTCAAATGCTAACTACTTACCCCTAAGCTGTAGACTAAAACTGATTAATAATTCCCACATCACATTGTTTAGGATAGAGAATGTTAAAGCAAATTACAGACATCACTGTGTCACACAAATGCATTTGAGACCTAGGTCAGATGAGGGAACCAGCACAATTCCTGGGTTGTTGTTAAGATATTTACAGCTACACTGGTCAGTGTTGTATTAAACACGCACGTTGGTCCAGCCCTTCAGTCTGCACGTGAACTCTCGCTCTCATCTCACCTCCTGACCCACCAGGACACATGTTCACATACTCGCATTTCCGACATTGCAGGTCCTGTGGGAGGTGCCAGATTGACCTGAAATCCCCTTCAGAAAATCTGCCAACTCATGTTTAACTCTGAAAGCCACCTCCAAATTGCTCCCTCTCAGAGTCCACCAGACAAGACCAGGAGCAGGATGCTCTAGCCGATGTAGGTTTCCGACCGTCGCAGCCCTGAATCCGTAGTTTGGAGCTGTGTTTGTGCGTGCGCTCCCACCCGGAGGGGCGGCTGCAGCCCAGGTCGCTCTGTGCTTGTCTCCGTGAACAGTCTGTCCGTGACGGGAGGCTCCCAGGGAGACCACGCTCCCGATTGTGATGACGTGTTTCCGTCGGAGTTGATGTTAATTCTGTATCTTGTTCTCTCCAGCCAGCTGCCTGCCCTTCACACTTAAAAGTGGGAGCAGAGGGCCCGCTTTGCTGACATTGAGAAGCAGGACAGACACCCAGGAGCAGATGAGCAATGACCCAGCAGAAGGCAGCCTGGACTCACGCAATGCAACAGGTACGAGGGCCCCCATGCCACGCCCCCTCCCTGAAGGCTGCCTTGTCTTCCCCGATGTTCCCTCTTCATCTGTGCGGGGGCCTCATGGACAGTGGCCAGAAACCTGCCCATTATTGGGAAAGATACGGGGGTTCTCAGTGTTAGAAGGGTTCCCAGGAATAGAGAGGCAATGTCACACGAGTTTTCTAGAATACCTGTATGGCTTTATTCTGTTTATTTTTTGTGTGTTTGAGAATTTATTTGACCAATATGCTTTTTTTTTAATCTCTTTTACTTTTTGACGTTGGGTCAGACACCGTTTTGACTGAGTAGACAGTGAGATGCTTGACCGCAGTGCTGAGGGGACTGGCTGGAGTCCTGAGAAGGTGAGGGTGTGTGAGCTCCCGACACTGAGTCCCCCAGAGAGAGAGGTGCCTGTGAGTAGCTGAGAAGTGAGCCCTGCAGCCCCTCGAATTCAGGGAGTGGAGAAGCCATCAACAAAGGCTGAGAGAAGGAGGGAGGCCAGGCATAGAGTGGCCCAGGGACCAAGACGGGGAAGCATTTCAAGGAGAAAGTGAGCACTGGTGACAAAGGCCCTGGGGAATGGATGGTAGGACTTGGCCATGTGGGTTCATTGGGGTCCTGGGTGAGAGCCGCTCTGTGCAGGGTGGGGAGGAGAAGGGGGAGGCAGCAAGTGTGGGGAACTCGTGCAGTGAGTTCTGTGTTACAGAACAAAGAAGTAGGCTGATAAGCTGGCCGGGGAGGTGGGGGCTGAAAAGAGTTTGTTTATTTCGGAGTTTTTAAAAGATATAATATGAGGTGGGGAAGATTGGCTGACCGAACTGTTACTAGTAGCAAAGGTGATCGTCCCACCTCCAGGTGGAGACTCTCTCATCTCTAGAAGCTTCCAGAGCAAAATCAGAACCTTTTTTTTCAGCTTAATCATAGGAAATAGGCTGCTTTTCCCTCCATTCAACAGACCTTAAAGGAAAAACTCTACTGGGAAGCTGCAGACAGACAGACAGACAGACACACCCCCACCATACTCACATGCAAATTCAATTTCAACGTCAAGTTCGATTCCAATTCAGAAACCAATAACAGCATCTTTACAGTATTGGGTAGCCACTTGCCCTGTGTGGCTATTGTAATTTAACTTTAAATTCATTAAGATTCAGTGAAATTGAAAAGTCAGTTTTCTCAATCACACCACCACACTTCAGGGGTTCAATAGCCACATATGGTGAGTGGCTACTTACAGAAGAGCATAGAAGTGGGTTACTTCCACCGTCACATTCCATGGGATGCGCTGCTGTGAATCTGAGGGGATAGGCTATTTTTAAAGAAAAATTAGCGTAGAAGAGGAATATTTGTTGGAGAAGGGAGCAAAGCAAACAGAAGAGACTTGGCAATCCTAAATGAAATGTGAGAGAAACATGGTAAAAACGAGACCATGCATTTGAAAAATTAGGAGGCACTAAATCATAGGCCATCCATGAGAACTGAAGAGGTAAATGCCAAACCAACAGCTCCTAACCAGCTTACTGTAAGAGAAAAAAAACGAACACCAAAAAACAGTAAAAATACAGTAAAGACATCTCCAACAATTATATTTCAAATTTTTATTTGTAGTTCAATTCTTTGCAACTCAGAACAAGGTTCTCTTGAAACTGAGACTGTTTAAGAATTCACAGTGAACGTTCTATCCCCTACCCCAGGCGTCCTTGAACCCTGGGCTTTTATAGCACATTCAGGTGTGACTTCTAAGGCTTAGAGAGGCTAGTTTCCTAAAGATGGAAGGAAATGTGGAAGGTGGTCCTTTGAGTCCTGGCTCAGTGCTTTCTCAGGGGCCTCCATGGGCAGGGCCCTGACTAGCGTCTGGGCACCTGGAGACTTGGTTCTGAGCAGAGAGGAGGGGTCCATGCCAGCCCTGTTTCAGGGCTGGGGGAGCCACTGGATAGCCTGGAACAACCTGGCTCCAGGTCCGGGGAACAAAACATGGTATCTGATCACAGTTACTATTGGCACCATTTCAGCTATATTCAGAGTCAAATAGGATTTCCTGGGCTTCCCCGGAATCATTCCCATAATTTTAAGACTGCTGTTTTCATGGGGAAATATTTTGTGTTTTAAACAACTGACTTGAAACAAACTTTTGAATCTCAACTTTCTTATGTTAACATTCCTAGACAGGATTACAGGGTTAACATTTTTCAAAGACTTAAATAAATTCTAAACTATTTACTCTGATAGAAATAGCCCTGGGGTTAAGACTAAGGATAGTGCTTCATCTTTTAAAAACTCTTTTGAAAAATCAGCTTTCCTGTCGTGTAAGATTGCTATTCATAAGTCTTTTTCTCCCAAAAGTCTAAAAGGTAAATGAAAATAGGATTTTAATATCTCCTAATATTGGTTTCCAAAGGATCCTTTTATCAGGTAATAAGAATTAATTGTCCTCCGAAGTTTCTTTCCCTTTTTGTCTTCACTACCAGGAAGCTCCTAGAAAAATGAATTGGTTTAATCATACTCTTTGAAGTTTTAATGGGGAGGAAGGTTTAACAGCGAGGCCAAAGAGTTATTGGGATAGTGAGAGAGCCGGGTAGAGGGAAGGGACAGTGACTCTGGAGTTTGACTCTGGTTCCATCTCTATTCTTAGCTAAGAAGGATTAGAAACTGGACTTTATTGATTACTCTACATAAATACTTACATATTATGTAAGTATAGGTATTAATATATAAGTAATACTTATGTGTTGAGTATTTATGTAGGGTAATTGACTGCTATCTTAAGTATTTATCAGAACACTAATTTGTTGACTTATAATGGTAAGAATCCCTTTCTAGGAACCAGCATGTTCCTGTCTGTAATCTGTGGAAACCCTTTTCCTGATTTTGAGATACTAGGAAGCCACAGTAGTAATTAGAAGTTTGCTTAAGGAACATAGAATCGGGCAAAGGGAAATAACATCTTGAAGGGTGTTTCATCCAGACCTTAGTAGTATCACTGCGATACTCTTTTTTTTTATTGAGATATAGTCAGTTTACAATGTTGTGTCAATTTCTGGTGTACAGCACAATGCTTCAGTCATACATGAATATACATATATTTGTTTTCATATTCTTTTTCACCATAAGCTAGTACAAGATATTGAATATAGTTCCCTGTGCTATATAGCATAAACTTGTTAGTCAGTATCTGTATATCTCGAGCTCCCAGTTTATCCCTTCTCACCCTTTTCCCCCCTGGTAACCATAAGTTTGTTTTCTATGTTTGTGAGTCTGTTTCTGTTTTGTAAATAATTTCATTTGTCTTTTTTTTTTCGATTCGGCATATAAATGATATCATATGGTTTTTGTCTTTCTCTTTCTGGCTTACTTCACTTAGAATGACGATCTCCAGGGCCATCCATGTTGCTGCAAATGGCATTATTTTATCATTTTTATGGCTTAGTAGTATTCCATTGTATAAATATACCACATCTTCTTTATGCAGTCATCTGTGGATGGACCTTTAGGTTGTTTCCATGTCTTGGCTGTTGTAAACAGTGCTGCTGTGAGCACTGGGGTGCTCACTGCGATACCGTTGCTGCCCGGTTGAGACCAGTTTTCTGGTGGCAGGGATGTTTTCACTTCTCAAATGTTATCTTTTCCCTTCTCTACAAAGCTAAGCACTACTAAAATGTGCTTTTCTGAAACCACTGCACCATGTTTGCCCTCCCTTTGCATTCTTCTAGAAGTGTTCCTCTCCCCAGTGTTACTAGTGTGCTGTACAAGTGGGAATGCCTCCCACTTGAGGATGGGCATTCCCATTGCCTCCAAGTTCCTGGAGGAGCATCGCCCTGCCCACGCTCCCCTCTCATGCTAGACTGGGTTATTATTGTAGTCAGTCTCAACTCTTTGGGCGTGGGGGAGGGGGATTCACATTTTAAATGCAAATAAGTTAAAATTTCAATATTTAAATGAAGGTTTCATCTTTAGCAAATGATTGCTTTACTTATTGTCCTAATAATCCACAGACAATTGTAATATTTTTAAAGTTATGGCACCTTTTAAAAAACAGACTCCATATTTTGCCTTTTATCAAAACAATCTAGTACCAAAATTATAATAGCCATCTTATATATCAAAAGATTGACAACCAAAAGCTATGTATGAATAATTTTCCAGCTTAAGTTTGACTTATTATTGTATTTGACATAACAATTCTATAACAACAAACCATTTGAACAAGCTCTTAAATTCATGGAATCTGCCTTACCACCCCAAGGAGTGTTTTTGGAAGACCCCCCTCTGCCTTTGGCACCACACTAGGTGCTGTGGGGAACATAACGAAGCCTAGAACAATCTCTCGACTGTGAAAGGTTTTGTGTTGGAGATCTTTACAAGAATTGCCGAGTCCCGCGCATGGTGCTGCCTCAGGAGCTGTGAGGTGGCCCCTGGGATCTGGGTAGCTGACAGGTGGGCGGAGTGCTGTGCGCCGGCAGTGGGGAAAAACAGCTGCTGTAGGAGCAAGTCTGCACGTTGCACGTGCGGACGGTAGGGTCTGCGGTGAAAAGGGGGTGACTGTGGGCAGGAGACGACCTAAAGGGCAGAGCCAGAGATGAGAATGAGGGGAAACCAGGAATGGACACTATGCTTGTATATTTGGCTCTGGACTTTGATCAGCTGATAATAGAGGGAATTCGTTATGGTTTCCTATTCTGTGCCTTTTTCCCCCTTGACCAAAAGCATGAGGTGGTCAAAGATGGTTTTGTTTGCCTGTTTGGCTTTGCATCTTTTCATGTGTTTATTTGAATCTCTTGCTCTTCTCCAGATCTACAAAAAGGGGTATTTCCTGTTCTGTGAATCATGTTCACAAAACTTTATCAACAGGTTTATTTTGCTGTTGCTCAAATCTCATTGATTTTTTCCCCTCTCTTAATGGGCAATACATTGATGAATTAGCAGATGTGATGGAAAGGACAGAAATGCCTCTGAGAGGTGTTAGTGGTGACAAATAGGATAACATATGTAAACTCTGT